GCTTCATCAAGCTTGTTTGCTCGAGCTAAAAGATCCACCATGCAAGCGTAGTGGTGGATCCCTGCTGGGATCCCATACGTGTAGCGCATTACATCAAAGAGCTCCAAGCCTTTCTCGACGAGCCCAGCATGGCTGCAAGCATTGAGCACTGAAAGAAAGATCATCTCATTTGGTAGGAGCCGAGGATTTTTTTCCTGGATCATCGTTTCCAGGAGCTCAAACACTCGATCAGTGTCACCATGGAAGCTATAGCCGGCGATGAGAGCACTCCAGGAGCCAATGTTTTTCCTGGAAATCGAGTGAAAAACTCGCTCGGCTTCGTCCATGCATCCACATTTCGCGAAGAACCTGACGATAGAGTTTGCGAGCATCACTTGATCTTGGAGTTTCCCTGGAACTTCTCGAATCTCGTTGCAGATCTTCTTGCCAGTCTCAAGCGCTGCTAAGTTCCCACAGGCCTTGAGCACCACAAAATAAGTTACCGCATCCGGCTGGAAGTTTTCCAAGTCTTTCATCTGCGAGTAGAGCTCCATAGCCTGTTCTTCCTCGCCACTCTCAGCATGAGCAAGAATGATAGAGTTCCACGAAGAGATTGTTCGTTGTTTTGGATGAATCCTCTCGAAAACCATCCAGGATTCATCCAGGCTTCCACACTTCGCGTACATGTCTATAAGCGAGTTAGCCAGCAATACATCTATTCTATTGTCATTGATATTGTCCATTCCTATAAATTCTTCGTGTATGACTCGTCCTTTTCCAAGACTCTTTCTTCCAATGCTCGCACAAGCCTTGAGAGCTGCGAGATAAGTTACTCCATCTCTTTGGAATACATCCATCTGATCAAACAGTTCCAAAGCCTTAGCACCATTTCCAGCGTAAGCATAGCCTTGGATCATCGAGTTCCATGAAACCACGCTCTTCCGATGGTCCAGTTCGTCAAAGACTTGTTGGGCTTCCACCATTTCTCCACACTTTGCATACATGTCGATCAAAGCATTGGCTAAGAACACGTTGAGCTCTTCGTCCCTGTTCCAAAGCTTGATCGCTTGAGAGTGAAGATATCTTCCCCGTTCCAAGCTACGAGCTTTCACAGCCTTGCCTTGGACGTAAATCGCCTCTTCCTTTTCTGCAAGGCTTGAGCAAGCCTTCAAGGCACCGAGAAGAGTTACTTCACTCGGAGCAAAGCTCCCTTCCTTCATCATACGCTCGAACAGCTCCAGAGCTTCTTCGCCATCGCCATTCTCCGCGTAGCCCATGATAATGGCCGTCCACGAAACTGTGCTACGTTGCTTCTCCTCCATACCATCGAAGACTTGGCGTGCATCGCTCATGCTGCCACACTTCGAGTAAACGTCGATCAAACTGTTGGCCACCAAAGTCTCGGGTTTCCCGAGAACTCCGCCATGAATGCCTCGAGCTCTTTCCAAGCTCTTGACTTTCACACCGACATCGGCTAGCTTTCGTGCGTCTTCCCGCCCGGAGAGAATCACACAGGCTCTCAGTGCTGCGAGAGTTGTCACTTGGTTTGGCGAGCACTTCCCTTCGTCCAGCATTCTCGCGTAGAGTTTCAAGGCCGTCTCTGGATCTCCTCCTTCCCGCTGTGCAAATCCTTGGATGATGGAGTTCCAGGAGACGATATCTCGAGCCTTCATGCCGTGGAAAACTTGAGACGCGTCCGCCATGCTGCCACACCTCGAGTACATGTCGATGAGAGCGTTGGCGACGAACAGCTCCGAGTCCACTCCCATTTCCACGGCCTGCCGGTGTATAGCTCTTCCTTTTCCCAGCGAGAGCTCTTTCATGGCGGGCTCTTTCTCCGACAGAGTCACGCAAGCCTTGACAGCAGCGAGAACGGTGACCCGGTTTGGAGCACAGCCTTCGTCTTGCATGCGTGAGTAGAGTCGCAAAGCCATCTCTCCATCGCCGTTTTGAGCATAGGCCATGATAATGGCGGTCCAGGGAACTACGCTCCGCTTCTTCATGCTCTCGAAAATTTTGCGAGCTTCCGGCAAGCTCCCGAACTTGGCATACATGTCGACGAGCGCGCTGGCCACAAAAACGTCGGAGTCCAGTCCAAGCTTGGCTGCTTCGAAGTGAATCTCTCGGCCTTGCTCCAAACGCTTTTGGATTCGAGCTAACTTTGCCGATGGAACTCTGCTTTCCGGATCTCCATCTTCTTCTTTTTCAGCCGAGCTCACACAAGCTTTCAACGCGGCAAGAACCGTCACCCTGTTCGGCTGGAAGCCGTCACCTTTCATAGCTCGATAGAAACTTAGAGCCAGATCTCCCTCTCCAGATTGAGTACACCCCTGGATGATGGAATTCCATGAGACCACGTCTCGGCGCCTGTCCAAGATCTCGAAAACACTGCGTGCTTCGTCTAAGCTTCCACACCTCGAGTAGAAATCGATAAGAGCATTCGCCACGAAGAGATCCGGTCCCAAAGTTTCTGCAGCTCGGGAGTGGATCCTTCTCCCTCGCTCAAGGCACTCGCACTTTATCACCCTTCCCTGGACGAGCGTGCCTTGCTCTTTCTCAGCCAAGCTCACGCAAGCCTTGAGAGCACCGAGAAAAGTCACAGCGTTTGCTTGGCAGCCTTGTTCTTCCATCCGCGAGAAGAGTTCCAGAGCCATCTCGCCTTGCTCGTTCTTCGCGTATCCCATCACCAAGCAGTTCCAGGACACCACGTCCCGCTGCCTCATCTTGTCGAAAATCTCGCGAGCCTCTTCCATGCTTCCACACTTCGCGTACATGGCCACCAAAGTGTTGGCCACGAAAGGATCGAGCTCGTTGCCAGTCTTCACAGCGTGAGAGTGTATCTCTCGGCCTCTTTCCAAGCACTGTCCACGCTTCGTACGTCTAGAAACTTTCGAGCTTTCTTCTTCTACTTCTTCTTCTCTCTCAGCCAGGCTCACGGATGCCTTGAGAGCAGCGAGCAGTGTCCCTCGGTTTGGATCGCAGCCCTGCCTTTGCATCCGATCGTAGAGTTCCAGTGCTAAATCCATCTCCCCTCTCTGAGCATAGCCTTGGATCATGCAATTCCACGACACCAAGTCGTGAGAGCTCATGCTCTCGAACACCCTCCTGGCATCCCCCAGTCGGCCGCATTTCGCATACATGTCCACCAATGCGCTTGCCACGAAGCGGTGAGACGAGAATTCCCTGTTGTTGATCACATCCCCGTGAATCCTCCTCCCGGTTTGTAAATCCCGTGAATTCTTACATACCTTGATCGCTGCGAGAAGAACGCCAATGCTCGGCTTGACGCCCTCGTCCACGAGCGCCTGGTAGACGAGCCTGGAATCCCTCCTCTCCATCCACCATGGCTAAACTAGGGTTCTTATAATTCCAAGCATTTAGTTTTAAATAGATAAATGACTCTCGAATATCCAAATTTAAAATCTTAAAATCTCAACCATTATAACTAGAAGCCTAAAACAATTCTAGCTATTGGATTAATTTTGCAAGATTAACCATGTAGGACATTTTCCGCGGATTGTTGCCTAGGATGTAATCTATCTGTGTGTTCATGATAGCAACGATAATAATGATATAAATAAACCTGCATAGCATGGAACAATTTTGAGAGACACACTATACCTGTCTTTTTGCAAAAGTGATCAGCTCATTTGGCTTGAAATTGCTACCTCCTCCGCACCTGACACTTTGTTTAGCGCTGCTCAGGTATCCTGCATATGTGATGAGCAGAAATGCGTTGCTCGTAGCGTATTGGAGATTGTTTGCGCCTTGGTAGAATAGCCCCCCTGTTATGATACATACGATTCTCATCAAATTGCCATTGTAGATAGTTTTGATTTTGATGGACCTGGTGTGAGCCTGGCTCGTCCAGGCATGGCCGAGCACACGAAATCATCAGCACGGTCCTTGTAAGCCGCAAGCCAGTTCTGATTTCCTCCCAAAAACACCTATATGATAAGATCAGCATCAGCATTTTCCAGTGAAGATAGAAGAAGATTGTAGGGTTTTTAGCAACCTTTGCCAAGAGGACATCCACACCAGCATACTTGTTGTCCCAGCTGAGAGTAGTGTAGGATGTCCAAGGGCCTCCCAGCTCGGGAAAACATGGCTTTTGGATTATCTAAATTTGAGTTTTTAGAATTTTATTCTTGTAATAATATTAATCATGAAGGGGACATAATCTTCTTTTAAAGTTGTTGCCATTTGTACTTTAGAAACAATAACATAAATTTAATTAAAATAGTAATTGATACATTGAAGTATATAATATAGCATTAATAAAATAAACAGTTGTAAAACTCATAAACTAATAGTTTTTAATTAGTAAAAATGATAAAGGGTAACAATAAAATTACATTAACATACTATTGTTACTTTTATTTTCTTTATAATATTAAATATATACTTTTCCATAATGGTGAAAATGTTATGAGAAAAATATAAAGATTTTATTCATAACATTACATATATATTATTTGATCTCAATTAGAAAATTAGCAAAATTATACTTAAGTATAAACATTTTAATTCATGTATGTAAAACATTAAAAATCTAAAGAAAATATAAATATTCATAATCAAAATGTTTCATGATCCAGCATCTTTTATTTATTAATACCCTTCTCATTATTCCCATCAAAAATATAAAGTTATTATTTTATTATTTTAAAGGAAAATAAACATTTAAATTATGAAGATATTTTATTAAGATCTTTATTTTGAGTACAAGATATACATCATTTAATATATAATTCACTTAGTTATAAGTAAAAGCTTTTTGTAGTTTTAATAAATTCTTTACAAGTTATCTAAAATATTCTTATTATTATTATGATTTTAATCTTATTTTTTTAAATTTATAAATACACTTAAATTACAAAACTTAATAATATTTATTATAAATGAGTTTATAAATTAAATTTATGCTTGATGCAAAATACAAACATTACATAAATTAAATTTCCATTTAAAATAATTAAGTGTAAATAGCTCTTATAATTTAGGGCTGGAAGAAGCTGGAGGCGATGGCGTTTCATGTGGCATGTCCTCTCACATGGTAAGCGATTCTCTCACTCTCCCGATCTAGATCGAGGTTGTCTTGGCAGCCGGAAGATTTGCAACTGCGCGCTCGGATCGTCAGGGCCGCTGCGCAAGCTCGGCGGCAAGGACGCCTTCTTACGCAATGCGGCGGCTCTCCAGAAGCTCCTGGCGAAGTCTCCACTGATGATCACGACTGGCGAGGACACGGTTGAGGTTCTCGTGCCGCGGCAGTCCAAGGAGTCCTCAAAGAAGAAAAAGAAGAAACCATCCACGTCGGTGGCAGCGGCAGCGGCCGAGGAAGATGGAGGCGCTCCTCAAGATCCTCAAGAGCTCCAAGCACAGGAAGAAGAAAAAATTCTAGAGTCAGTGCCAGAACCTGAGGCCGATCACGAACCCGAGCAAGAGGAGGAGCCAGAGCAACCAGAGCAACCAGAGCCAGAGCCGGAGATGGAAGAACAAAGCGTGCCAGCGGAGGACAATCAACCAGACTATCAGGTACCTCGCTTCGATCTTCGTCCTTTTGTTTGTAAGCGATGGAATTTTTTCTCTTGGTTTCTTAGACACCAGATGATGGAGGAGGGGAAGTGAGTACGCCTTCTCAGCCGGAAGAAAGCGTTGCTCCTCCCGAGGAGATATTCTGCGGGCTGTGTCAACAGGCAGAAGCCGAGAGTAAGAAGCAGGAAAGGATGCTAACTTGCCAGGGATGTGACCGACGATTCCACCGCAAATGTTTGAAAGACTGGGCAGGAAATCGAGGTGAGTTGTGTTTTGATAGAGGATGGTCATTTACTTCGAATGGTCGATGTAGATTTATTCAACTGGGCTTCTTGGCGCTGTTTGCATTGCCGGACGTGTGAAGTGAGTTTTTTTCTTGTCAGGTTGACATCGTTTTATCTGAGCATAATTGATGTAGGATTGCAAAGTTACGGGTGATCCCAACAGGCTCTTGTTTTGCAAAAGATGCGATGAAGCTCACCACAATAACTGCAAGCAAAGTGGTGCTAAGGTAGAGACTTATTACTTCGTCGAACTTTTATGACGGTTTGGGTTTCACAGGCTCCGGCAAAAGGACCATTTCTTTGTCCAAAACACTCGCAGTGCCATAGCTGTGGTACTCGTGTTCCTGGAGGGGGTTCTAGTTCAAGGTACGTACTTCGTGTCCTTAGCATAAGTTCTTTATGATTCTTTCTTTTCACAGGTGGTTCCACTCGTATCTGTTTTGCGATGCTTGCGGACGACTGTTTGTGAAAGATAAATACTGTCCAATCTGCATGAAGGTATTGTCATTGTCAATCATAAGACAATATTTTCATGCTTTGTCTTATCAGGTGTACAGAGAATCAGAGCCGACGCCCATGGTTTTATGTGATGGTTGTGAACATTGGGTTCACTGTGTCTGTGAAGGCATCAGGTAATGTTTTTATCAACTGGTTTAGCGCGCATTAACTTCCTAGTTTGTTACTTGTAGCGATGAAAAATATCAGGAGTTTCAAACGATACAAAATTTGCGTTTCACATGTGCTGCCTGTCGTGGAGAATGCTTTCAGGTAATTTATACTGCCATCTTGCTATTTCGCTGCACAAACATGTTTTCGCGCCTTAGGCGACGAGTGTTGAGGAAGCAGTGGTTGAATTATGGAAACGGAAAGACGAGGCAGATCGGGATCAGATTAAAAGCTTGCGTGCTTCGGCTGGTCTTCCTTCGGAATCCGAGATGGCTAGACTCTGTCCGTCCTCAGACGACGAGCAAGCACCAGCTTCAGCACCCGCCAGAAAGGAAGGGAAATGGGTGTTTAAAGTGAATAGCAGCTCGAAAACAAGAGGAAAGTCGAGTGAAGAAGCCGCCGACTCATCCAAGAAAAGATCCAGGAGTGACAACGTTGAGCCCCCGGAAACCGAGAGAAAGACGCTCAAGCTCAAGATAAAAAAGCCGTCGGGCACCGAAGTTGTGGAAGCCTCCAACACAGCTCGGGGACAGAGAAGCAAAAGGAAAAGGCCAGCGAGCTCACAGGAGGAGGAGGTCGCGGACGCAGTAGAATCGGATGAAGACGACACATCTATTCTTCACCGGCTTGGCTCGGACGCAGTGACGAAGAGAGTGGAAGTCTGCCGATCGTCTGATAAAACATGGTGAGCGGGAAAGTTTCATATATCAAGAACACTAACTATAACCACTCTCGTGTTCAGGTTGAAGGGAACGATAACTCACGTGCAGCAACGCAGATCGCAGTTCACAGTAAATTTTGACAACGGTGACAAGAAGACTCTCAAATACGGCAAGGAAAAAGTTCGGCTTTTGGGAAAGAGAGAGAGGTAGACAAGGCAAGCTAGACAACTTTGTTTTTTCGTCTTTAGAAGGTATAGGTTTGTAGGCTACTGTTTGAGAGGGTATGGAGACAGCCAAGAGCTTCCAGACGCAGCTCATTCCTCCATTCAGGTATGCGATTGTGGAAGAATCGCTGTACAGGTAGGCTTTTGATCTTTCTCCTTTCTAGAGGAGTACTAACTCTAGAGAATTTTCTTCTTTCTTGCACAGGGGGGCTTACCCAACGATGAAGAACTTTAGATTCTTGAAGCGGCTACACTTGAAGACGATAGTATCGCTCACTCCGGAGGCTCAACCCAACAAAGATCTCAGGAGCTTTTGTCAAGACCAAGGGATCCATCTGCAGCACTTTCATGTGGACAAATTCCAGGTCTATTGTTTTGATCGTTCGCGAGTAAATTCTTCTGAAATTCTCTTTACTTTGGCAGGATGTCGTGACACTCTCCCACAACCAAGTTGTGGAAATCCTTCACAAGATAATCTCCGTGGAGAATTTGCCGGCTTACTTGCACTGCTTGGATGGAGCTCATGTCACCGGCCTTGTGGTAAGTAACAGTTTTTACTTCGTTTTATTTTTTTCACGAGGTGGTGATTTTCTGTGGATCAGGTAATGTGTCTGAGAAAGCTCCAGTGCTGGAACTTATCGACATCGACGGCGGAGTTTTGTCGATTCCAGAGAACCGGAGAGATTTCTCGAGAGGAGTCCCAGTTTGTGGAGTCCTTTCAAGGGAGCATACTCATTCCTCCAAGGATTCCACAATGGCTCTGGCAAGTAAGTTCTACTCACGTAAAAAAAAGAGGACTTTATTTACCCATCAAGAAACTCTTTTACAGGGCGTTCGAACTGTCAACCATCCCATCTTTCGCTTGACTTACCTCCCAGACGAAGAGAGTGATGCGTAAAAGAGGAGTGATGCGTAAAAGAGTAAAACTTCTCAAGCTTTTTACTTGTCTATCACTTCCAGATCTTAGAGCCTCTTCTTGTGAGACCTGGCCTGCCTCGAGATCTGGAGGATGATCATGGTGACGAAACAAACCACCAGCATCATCCTCCCAGCGCTTGCGTTGCGTAGAGCCTGGATCCAGTCCCTACTAAAATCCACAAAGATGCAAGTTACCATCGCGACGATGAAGCCGATTCCGACACCAATTTTTATCACTGGCACCAGCCGCGACCTCTGCAAAATCATAGAAATCCATTCGAGGTAGAACTTTCGGAAAAATAAAATGGAGAACTTTCGAACCTTTGGATCGCCATCGAGTCGAATGACGCTATCGCTCTTGCCGGAGTAAGGAAGCATCGAGAGGCCATTCCTGGGATTGTAGCGCAGCCGCTGGCCTCGCCCACTACTCAGCGAGTAGGCATAGATTGCTCGCAGCTTGTAGTCGATCATGATCTGTTCCAAGTCGAGCCGGTTCTGATCCCAGCCCCCAAGCGGGGCCTTGAAAACATGCTCCGGCCCTTTACCATCGATAAACAGCTCTACTTCCACCAATGGTTGTCGACTCATTTCCTTGGCTTCTCAGAAACAAAACTTCTTTGCGCTTCGGTTAAAACAACCAAGCTAACCTCAAAATTGCGGATCACGAGGGATCAGGCTCTAATTCTCCGTTACCATGCGCTCCGGCTGCACAGCACTATGTCAGCTAAAGCCATTTGCAACTTCGAAAGCTCGCTTACCTCTTGTACCTCCGTTCCTCTATCTTCCACCTTCTTGCTTAAACGAGCAAACATGTTTCCGTACATCTTCGCCTGTATCTTGTTGTACTCGCAAACCTTTTGTTTTAGCCTTGTTAGTTCGACCTTCACCTCCCTGCCCCGCAAAAAGAAAAAAACAAGGAGAAAATGTGAAGCACGTTGATAGAGGACTAGGCAGAGTTACCTGTTATTGGGATCAAGCTCCAACGCTTTCCTTAGATCCCACTCGGCCAGATCCAAGTCCAAAGTTTCAACGTAAGCCTGTGCTCTCCGATACAAAGCCTTCACATTCTGGGACTCCACTTGCAAAACCTGGGAGGAAGAAAGCCTTCAACCAAATACCTGCAAAATTAAATGTACCGTTGTGCATAGTTTTGCTGCTTCCTGGTATTCCTTCAGCTTTAGCTTACACGCCGCATTGTTCAGATTGCTGCTGGCCCTGAGTTTCTTTACGACTTTTTTTTCCTCCTCACTGAAGGAGTTATCGTGCTGGATGTACTTTATGGCCTGCGGAAAGACGAGGGGTCAGCTCATCGCTTAGCTTTCGTGAAACAATACCTTTTCATACTTGCTTGAGGCGCGCTGATATTTACCGGCTTTAAAAAGAGCATTCCCGTCTTCTTTCTTCTGACCGGCAGCTTTCAGCTTTTCCCCTGTATCCATATCCCATGGATCCTTTTCCTGTACCAAGCATTATCATTGTGAGTAAATGTAGAGTTCCCCACCTTTACGAAAGAATCCAGCTCCAGTTCGTAGGTAAGCGTTGAATTCGCAGGTATAAGGCTCAAACTTCCACGAGTGACAGAATTACCATAGCCATACTCAGGATCAATGGTAATAAGGGAAACCTCTCCCTTCTTCATTTTAGAAACAGCTTTATCCAATCCAGATATCACTTGTTCTTCACACACAAAGGTAGAGTTTAGAATCTGTTTCACGGAGAAAAACTTGCAATATTACCTTCATCAACTCTGAATTCGAACAGTTCACCAGCTAGGCCTCTCTCGTCAAACACCCTCCCATTTGCAAGCTTTCCCACGTACTTGACTGCAAGATTTATAAACATAGCAACACTAAAAGACGATAATCGACCTTTCTTACCTTTAACAAGTGATCCATCGTTAGGCATTTCGTAACCCTCACCCTGCTTGAGAATTTTCTTGACAACCTTCCTATCCGGTGTGATATAGTCTACGACTCTCCACGACAAAAGCTCTAAGCTGATAATCAAACTCGCGTTTGGCGGAATAGCACATTCATTACCGTGTGCCTTCTTCCCAGCTTCTCCAAATCCATCTATCAGTTATAGCTACAACGTTAGACAACGAGATGCTGGAATTTTCATTCTGCTCATTCTTACATTGCGACTTTACCGTGAGAATAACTTTCTCCTCCCTTTTCATGGTTCTCACAGCCTTGCTGATAGCGGGGCAAAGGTATCCTGCAACAGAGCATACACTGTAAATAAGCTGTAGATGATTGGATGGTATAAAGGTAAACGGTGGGAGCTCACCATCTGTGACGCGAAATTCAACTCCAGCCAGTGGCGTTGTTGCCACGACAGTTCCATCTTCCAGCTTCGCCTCAAATCTCACTGCCAGCAACAATCAAAAGTCGTTTCACTATAGCTTTTAAATATCAAAAACTCACCCAGAACTTCGTCGTCATCCTTGGGAGTCGCCCAGTTGCGACCCTCGGCCACAATCTTCTTTAAAATGCCTCCGTCCTTGCAAATTTCCTTGATGCTGTCCCACGAGAGCAGCTCCACATCGAACTTGAGCGTTGCATTGCCGGGAATCGACGGGCCAGCGCCAGCTTCTCCGTAGGCAAGCTCTGGCGGAATTGTAAATGTAGCACTCTCTCCTTTCCTCATTGTAGAAATGCCATGGTCCCATCCCTTGATAACTTGACCTGCGCAAACAAAGATAAAACGTGAAAAATGAGGTATCAAGGTAGGCAAAACGATCGAAAAGACGTGATGGTTACCAACACCAAGCTTGAATGAGAAAGGCTCTCCTCGATCTCTACTGGAATCAAATTCGGTTCCATCGAGAAGCATGCCAGTGTAGTGAACTACAAAGAAAACACACATTTTCTTCTCATTAGTGCCAATCTCTCTAACCACGAGCATTCCATACCTTTGACCTCGTCCCCAGTGCTCGGCCTCTCCCATCCTTCCCCGGCCTTGACAAGGAGCTTCTTCAATCCGTGCTTGCCGATCTCCCTCTCCTGGCCTTCCTTGTGCGCATCGATCGACGCAGCGCCGAAATTCGGCGGCATGACAGGCGCGGCATCGAGATTATCCTCGCCTCCCATTCCAAAACCCTAGAGAAAGACGGCCACTGTGCGATCGCAACAAGACCAAGCGAGATCGATCCAGCTGACGACGTTTTGCCGCTCCTCCTCCTATGCTACAGCGATTTCCTTCCCAGGAATCGCGACAAGAAATCGATTGCCGCCAAGAGCACACGACGCGCGCGCCGCAAACCCTAGCCAAGCTCGAGAAAATGCCGACGAGAGACGCAATCTCTCTCGCCTTCTTTACTTATAGTTATTTTCGCATTTCGTGTTCTTCGCAAAATCACCAGCCGGTTGCCGAGACACGTGTCCGGTCACGCATGTGGTGACCGAGTATGGATAAAGTGGGGCCCACTCTCTACTTATCTCTAACCTTTTAAAAGTTGACAAATTTGGTAGAGCTTTTTCATTACAAGCCCTAGAGGAGTTGAACCCAGGACCTGCTTGTCTGCCATTCGCGATTTCTTCTTCTGGGAAACGAAAGAATGTGGGCTACACCTCATGGTCTATCAAACCTTGTCTTTAAGAAATGAAAGGGAGGTATGATAGAATCAACATGGTTTCTCGTTGCTTCGAATCATCATTCCAAAAATTTCTATATCGTGGTGTTAGGCGAGAATGTGACCACATAGCTTCGACCTTACATCATGATGAGCGGCGCCCAGCCGTCGGATTGCTCTTTACGCGACACGTGCGTGACAGCCGTTGGATGACTGTCCAGCTGGACGGTGCAGATACAGTGCTGCGATGGACGGTCAAGATCGGGAAGCTTTATTTCCTTTTCATTTTGTTTGGAGTTCCTCTATTTTGTGTTCTTCTTCTCTGGTTCTGTGGTCTGGAGATGCTGGCGCTCGATTTGCATCTCTAGAGCTCGGCAATCCCAGGTAACTGGATTCTCGGGGCTCTCGCTGCCAATGCGCGCAGCGGGATCATGCCCTAGGACGAATTTCTTCCAATTCGCATGAATCCAATCGATCGGGCATGAGATGATGCCGCTGGGTGTGGAAGCAGACATCAAATTGGTGCCGAGCGTGTTTCTAGCGCTGGGAAGCGATGAGGAAGATCAACCATCGCCTTCCAAGCGTGAAATTCTGGCCAAGGAGGCTGCTGACCTCGTCGCGCAGCAGAAGCGATTGTCTGTTCGTGACCTGGCGAGTAAATTCGAGCGAGGACAGGAAGCTGCCCACGCTGCCGCGGCAAAACTCGCCGAAGATGTGAGTGAAATAAATCTCCTTCTCTTTTCTCTCTCTCTCCATCTTCTTATGTTCTTCATGTATCACAGGAGAAGCTCCAGAGCGCCCTCATGCTCGAGAGGCAAGAGCTTATCACTAAGCTAAGACACGTTTTGGATGCGCTTGGAGGCCGTGTAGCTGGCCGAAACAGAGATGATGTCGAGGAATCCGTGACTCTGGTCTGAAGCAATGCGTGATTCTTATGTTTGTTTCTTTCCTTTTCTCACAAGGAAGATCTTCATAGGTGGAGGCTTTGGGCATTCAGCTCGTGCAACGAGAGATTGAAATGTCCCAGGAAAAGATTGAGCTCCGGAAAATGGCTACTCTTTTCAAGCAGGTTTGCAACGATCCGGACAATATTTTATCTCTCGGTTTCGTCTTTCTAATGTGTTGTTTTTTGTAGGCTTCAGGTGAAGCTAAGAGGATGGTGGAAGAAGCTCGCTCCGTGGCACAGGCAGAGATTGAGAAGGCGAAGGCTTCAGTTTTGAGAGTCGAGGCGTTGATTACTGAGCAACAGAGGCGTAGCTACAGTGATTCCGAAAGAGCTGTAAGTAAGCATATATCAGCTTTCGAGGAACTCAAGCAGGAACTTTCACTGCCAGGAACTCGAGGCAATGAGGCGCGAAGTTCAAGAAGCTCGAAGAATAAAAATGCTGCACGAGCCTAGCAAGGTTCTCTCTTTCCTTCTTTTTGCATTAGTTTCCATTTCTAGTTGGCTTGTCACATAACTGGAGGTTGTGCAGGTCATGGACATGGACTACAAACTTCAAGCTATCCAACAACAATTTGACGTGAAGTCAGCGGAGGTTCTGCAACTAAGAAAAGAGGTGACGAGTCTCTTTCAAGTTTATGAGCTCCACTTACCTGTGATATGTATGTCTGCAGTTGGATATTGCAAAACACGGAGCTAATGCGAGAGTTTATCGTGTCGATGGTACTGAATGTCTGGGATCTTTGCTAAGCTTATCGCCTGTAGACGAGCAAGCACCCGATCTATCCTTCTGCAAATTCCAATGGCATCGGATCTCAGCTGACGGGGGTAAAAAGGAACTCATATCGGGTAAAGAAATCTCTAGACGTGTTACGCAATTTCTACCTGTGACTGACAAGTGAACACCAGGTGCTGTGAAGTCACAATACGCTCCGGACCCGTTTGATGCTGGAAGAATTTTGCGAGTGGATATTACTCTACCAGGTGGAGCGAAAGAATTCTTATCGACAACTGGCCCTGTTGATCCAGGTTCGTAGCTTATTCCCATTCAAGGATAACATATCCCTTTCTTTTCCAGCGCCTGGGTTGGGGAACTACGTTGAAGCGTTGGCAAAGAAGGGCGGTACAGAGTTTAATGTTAGTGATGACAAGATCTCTTTTGAAGAAACAACCAAGCTTTTCGTTTTTCGCAGGTAGTTATTGTACAGCAGAATGGCGAGTACGTAGAAAAGCAAGCGTTGCATGCTTTGGAGATTGGAAGACTCCGTATGAAGCTCCGTAAAGGACTGACAACGAAGATCAAAGAGAAATACGCCGCCGGCATGCAGGTAAGCTTTGAACTCTTTGAGGACAAACGAGGATACTGATCGAAAGCTTCCATTTTGCAGCTTTGCGGAGCAAGAGGCGGCGGACAGGCCGCTCCTCTCGCCATGTTTTGGCTTGTGAAGCGAGGCCTGACTTACATGCTTGGATTTGAGTCCGAGCGCGAGCGAAACGCTGCGATCATGCTGGCACGAAGATTTGCGTTTGATTGCAATGTAAGAATTCTTGTTGTTGGTGTGCTCCTAAAGTTTTCTTCTCATTCGCAGGTGATGCTAGCCGGCCCAGACGATCGATCACCTATAGGCACATAAACGAAGTGAAAAGAGAGAAAAAAGAAAAGAAAATTCTCGCTTGAGCTGTACAGGATCATCGTATAGAGATTATCTTTCGTGGGATTCACGACACCCATCTCAAACAGTATATATAAAATGATCGATCAAAGCTTGAATTTTCCTTGGATTGTTAGGAAGGACGGATCTATCTTTCTCCCATCATAAATGAACGAGAGATTCTCTCGAGATTCCGGGTACGCTTTCGGTCGAAAACGTGACCAACCGACCCTGGCTCATTAATTCCATCACCGTTTGCACAAACCACTAAAAAATCCCAAGAGAAAAGAGAGACCTTGATTCTTAGTTTGCTTCTTATCGATTCCATAGATCCATAGATAGATCGATCGATCGATCGAAGATCTCTCTCCTTTGGCAGAGCTAGAAAGGAAAGAAGGAATGCTTCCTCCATCCGTGTCCAAGACGCTATCCTTCCTCCGGGCGATGACGAGCCCGAGTACCTTCTTCCGGGGCCAGGTGGGCGATGGGCGAGAGCAGCGGCTCCTCGAGCACGTAGTCGCAGAGGCCGAGCCAGGGAATCCCAAATCCGTGCTGGATGTAATCGATCGCTACACCGCATCCAAGGGGACGTGGTTCATGAACATCGGCGACGACAAAGGCCCCATTCTCGACTCGGTTGTGGAGCGCTCCAATCCCCGGCTCGCGCTGGAGCTGGGTGCTTACTGCGGCTACTCGGCAGTGAGAATCGCGTCGCGGATGAAAGATCCAAATGGGCTGCTGATCAGCATTGAGATGAATCCCCAGAACGTCCAGATCGCGAGGAAAATGGTGGAGATTGCAGGTGAGTAGCTCGTGTTCTTCCTCGTGTGTCCTTCACCGTTGGATCACGATTTTGAAGCTAACGGCCCTGATTATCTCTCGCAGGTCTGTCTGATAGGGTCCGCGTTCTCGAGGGCACGCTCGAGAGTTGCCTTGCGGAGCTCAAATCGATCATCCGCGACGAGCTCCAGCTGAGCGCCATCGATCTGGTCTTCATCGATCACAACAAGAACGTCTATCTCAAGGATTATCTCCAGCTCAAGGAAGAGGGGCTGCTCAAGAGTGGCAGCGTAATCGTGGCGGACAATATGGGCTTCCCTGGATCGCCCAGCTTCTGGCGATACCTCAAGAAGAACGCGCAGGAGCTCCACACCGTGGAGCACCGCTGCAAATTCGAGTACATTGGCTGGATCTCCGACATTGTCACGGTTTCTACTTGCGTGTAAGAGAACCAGCGCTCTTAAAAGACGTGTCCTTTCCACCTGTGCCCTAGATTTATGGTAGGGTTTTATTTTGGATTTCCCTCCATGCGCTGCGTTCTGGAATGGCGAGGCCCGATGGCGCCGTGGATGAGGAGGAAGGAGGAGGAGCGCGATCGGCAGCGGCCATGGAAGAGGAGGAGGAGGAAAGCCTCCTATTAAATCGAGAGGAGGAGGAAGTGGTTTTTAAGAACGACGATGAAGAATCCAGTGAGGATTATCGGCCGGGAGGGTATCATCCAGTGTGTGTAGGGGATTTGTACAAGGATGGCCGGTATTTGGTGCGCAAGAAGCTCGGATGGGGGCATTTCTCTACCGTTTGGCTCTCCAGCGATCGGCACAATGAAAATGTGAGTTTTCTAGGATATTTCTAGCATTTCTTAGTGGTTTTCAATAGGACGACGATTTCTTGCTTTGCTTCAGTGATTTTTTTCTTTCTAGAATTTTTTCAAGCATAGGACGAAGATTTCTTGATTTGATTCAGTGATTTTTTCCCTTTCTATAGGTAGCTGGTTCCAGTGACTTCAGTTTGATTTTTTCCTTCTTCCAGAAAAATATAGCACTCAAGATCCAAAAGAGTGCACAGCACTACACAGAGGCCGCAATGGACGAGATCACAATTCTCACACAAATCAGCAAAGGAGATCCCGAAAACAAAAAGTGTGTTGTCAAGCTGCTGGACCACTTCAGGCACACTGGTCCAAACGGGCAGCATGTGTGCTTGGTGTTTGAGCTCCTGGGGGACAACCTTCTCACTCTCATCAAGCGTCACAACTGCCGGGGACTGCCTCTGCAAGTGGTCCGTGAGATCTCGGCACAGGTACTCGTGGGGCTGGATTATCTCCACAGGGAGCTGTCGATCATACACACCGATCTCAAGCCCGAGAACATTCTACTTACGATGCCTCTGCCGAAAGCAAGGGTCTTCGATCACAAGAAGAAGTCTAGAGCCGAGGAGAACACCGACGCTACTGGCAAGGAAGGTGGCGACGAGTTTGACGGCATTGCTACGAATAAAAGTATGAAGGATCGAGAGCCTGGCAAAGCAGAGATCGAAGCGTTCCAAGATGCGTGGAAGAACATCGGCCTGGACAAGAGTTGCCTCGAGGATGCTCCGTCCGATGTGGAGAAGCTGATTTGCGAAGTAAAGAAGCCTCCACCGGTCGCCTCCAATTGCAAGACCTCCCACGACGTAGACCTGCGGTGTAAGATTGTGGACTTGGGGAACGCTTGCTGGACGTACAAGCAGTTCACTGCAGACATCCAGACGCGGCAGTACCGGTGCCCGGAAGTTCTTGTCGGCTCCAAGTATTCCACTCCCGCGGATATGTGGTCATTGGCGTGCGTGGTTTTTGAGCTTGCCACCGGAGACGTTCTTTTCGATCCACACACCGGAGAAGATTACGACAGAGACGAGGTAAAAGCTTTTGCTGGTTTGTCCCTTCGTGTACCACCAGTCATTACATTTTCAGGACCACCTCGCTCTTACCATGGAGCTTTTGGGCCGGATGCCAAGGAAGGTGAGTTTTTTTCGTTGCTAGTTTCAAGGTTCCAAGGTTCTTAGTCGTTTGTAAATCACACAGGTTGCTCTAGGCGGACGGTACTCACACGACTATTTCAACCGTCACGGTGATCTGAGGCACATCCGGAAGCTGCGATTCTGGCCCCTCAAGAGAGTGCTGGTGGAGAAATACGACTTCTCCGAAGTTGACGCACAAGATCTGTCGAGCTTCCTGTGCCCGATCCTGGAGTTCGTCCCGGAGAAGCGCCTCACCGCCGCACAGGCGCTGCAGCACTCGTGGCTCAACTCGGGGCCGCTGCTCGTGACTCCATCGCCAGCAATCATCGCGGAGGAGGAGGCCAAACTTCTCTCGAGCGAGCAAACGCTGAGCAAGAGCGACGACGCTGCTGCCTTGGCACCAGCACCACCCTCGAAGCTGACGAGCGCCAAAGGTATACTGCTGCCTCTAAGTTTTCTAAAGCATAGCAGGGGGTTGAAGGCTTGCAACACTACTGCTTAGAAGCTTGGCAAGCGACAACGCAGCGATTCCTCTACGTTGTCGCTCTGGAGCGATTGCAAGCGAGCGAGCAAGCAAGCAAGCCTCGGTTTACTTCAATTTTCTTTGCTCCTTTCTCTGGGATTGATCTGTGCTTGCTGTGGCTCAGCTGATGATGCTCGGGTGGTACCAAAGTTCGCTGGAATTCACCGGCTTGCTCATGTAACTTGGCTTGCTATCCCGCTCTTGTGTTTCTTCTTCACTCTGGATTTCTCCACGAGGATTCATGGGTAGTGGCTATGGCAGATACTTGGTGGATGGAATCTCTTGAAGATTGGTCTCCTTTGGAACCCATTCAAGTTTAGCTTCTCCAAGCTCTCGAGGTTCTAAGCAGGAGCTAGAATATTCCATACTCATATTCTATATTGGTAAGCATATTCTATATTCGTATGAATTATTCGATAGGGAATATGCTACAATTTAAACATTCTTGGTTTCATCTCCTAAGGTAAGCGGCGAATGGTCGATTTTGCTAGTGTGATTCGGGCAATCCGCAAGAGCGTTGTGCAGCTCTGCACCATCCGGGTTCGTCGCACGGTCCACACGCTGTGACATCCAGCCTTTCCATAGCGGAGATTTGCAAGGCTGGGAAGCTGGACGAGGCAGTGGAGGTGATCGAGCAGATGCTTGTGTGGATTGCATAGAGTGGAGGCGGCCATTGTGGAGTTTGATTAGATGCCAAGAAGATCTTGGTCGCGACCATATGTGAGTGCGTACGGCTGATCGGGGAGGCGTGTTTGGTGAAGGCTTTCAACAACAACATGAACAATGGCAAACACAAGTTTCCCATGGAATTTCAAATTCAGAGGAGATTGGAGAAATGCTTTCTGGGGTTGCTGTCAAGGCAAAAAAAAAAAAAACAAGGACAGAAGAAAAAAACAGTAGTAGTGCTTTTCAACAGTCTGACAAATACATCAAGAAAAAAATGAGGAAGACCAAAGATGGCTTTGGATCTCCCCTCCTTGTTGCAGTCTCCACAGGAAAATGGGAGTTGATGAACATTGGGGTGGCTGAAACCCCAATGCCAGCTTAGAAGCATGAGTGGGAGGTGGGATTTTACATACACCTCTCAACAATATTGTGCTGGCTGACCTATCCCACAACTACGTGAATGATAAACACAAAGTTGAAAACTGGCAAGTTTATAGCAAAGACACTCATTCACCATGCTTTGGGACTTTTCTTGCAGTCTTTTATGCAGAGTAGTGGTCAATGGAGACTAAGAACATACATCCTAGAGAAGTGTGCACTAATTTTTAGACCACTGTGTTTATAAAGTTCGGCCAGCTTTGATGCCTGTTAAATAGGAGATTCTGTCAGTATGAAAGCAAAACAAGAAAATACAGATCTTACAGTGGTAGCTTCAATTGATAAATGTTCTTTAACGGCAGCATCCTCTTTGACAAATCGCAATTCCTGACATTGCAAGTCATTTCACAACGATCTTACACCAGATAATCCATGTTTTTCCGTTTCCAGATCTTTCGACTTCGTACCAGAGCGTCTTCTTTCTCCTTGGCAGCCCTTTCAATATTCAAGTCATCAATCAACAGCCAGTAGCAAGGAAGAATTCTTGGCTTGCAACTCAGCCTCCGATTGTGCATTTCGGTTTCGCTCTTCCAGCAAGTTGGCAGACCTCATTGTGAGCTCTTCAGCGAGCTAGGAATTATGCTCAGCAAAAATTTTCTTTTTCCTGCTCAAAAAACAAAGATAAAAAGAAAAAGAAAGGTTTAGCAATCTAAACAATCGCTTAGTCCATCTCGGAGTTTACAGCATAGACGTCATTGCGATTGGTGCCTATCACGCCGTTGAAAGAGGAATCATGGTCTCTTGCGCTGGTGGAAACTCTAGTGTCCAACGGTGCTCCCTGGATCTTCACAGTCGGTGCCAGTACAATCGACAGGGAGATCAACGAGGATGCTAAAATAGCAGCCAAGTAAGTATAACAGATGATCAAAAGGTGATGGAAACTTACTCTTGGCTTCGTGCTTTCTGTGCAGTCGTAAATCACGAATTCTCAGAGGAACAACGATTCCTTACAAGCCAGCACCTCTCGTAGCGGAGTTTTCGTCAAGAGGTCCACACACAATCAGTCCGGATATCATCAAGGTACTCGAAAAACATACCATGAAGCTTGTGACTTATCTCGCGTTGCAGCCGGACGTTACCGCTCCAGGAGTCGAGATCTTAGCAGCTTGGCCAAGCAATATCCCCGACACTGACAATGGAAAGGAAGTGTTCGTGGAGTACACTTTTCTCTCTGGAACTTCCATGGCGTGCCCTCACGTCAGTGGCACCATCGCTTACTTGAAATCCATTCACCCAACATGGAGTCCTGCGGCGATCAAATCAGCAGTCATGACCACAGGTAAGTCGAGAGAAAACAAAATAAAACTGGAGACTCAAGCTATCACCAAAGCCAACACCAACAAAACAATCGTCGATCCAAGCACTAACAAGGCAGCGACTGTTTTCGACGTTGGAAACGGTGAGATCCAACCAGCAAAAGTAGTCGATCCAGGACTAGTCTACGACACTGATCCTCTCGACTATATGTAACTCGGGCTATACCTCCAAGCAAATCCAAAACATCACAGGCGACAGTAGCAGCAAATGCCCCAAGAACGACACCTCTTTCAGCCATAACTATCCCTCCATCGCAGTCCTCTTGGATGGATCCAGCAAGACGGTGGAGAGGACAGTGACCAATGTGGGAAATCCCGGCGCGACCTACACCGCTTCCGGGGAAGCGCCAAGGGAATCTCGATCTCGGTCACTCCCAGCAAGCTGAGCTTCACAAGCCCGGACAGAAGCTGACCTACAGCGTCACCGTCTCCGCCAAGGGAACCATAACGGCGGATCCCCAAGCGCCGAAATGGAGCTTCTCGGATCTCACATGGGAAGATGGAGGGCATAATCGAAAGAGAAATATTTCTAGGGTTTAACTTTAAATTACCCTTAAACTGCATGTAAATCTAAATTACATCTCAAAAAACATAGAAACCGTATTAAGGAGTTTCTCTAAGGGAGCAACTGAAGTAGGTAGAGTCTTTATTTCTTTTGAAAATTGTTGACTAGTTGTATACAAATTATCACAGTTTTCTCTCAATTTGCAAAGGGCATAGCAAAGAAATTACAATTAATTACATGGGTTTGTATTTGAAGCCCACAATACCTTCAATTTAGGATGTTTTAAAAATGTTTTCTGATGGGATTCATATAATACCAAATTACAGTCACTTTGAAGAGAAAGAAATGTTTTTCCTATATCACAATTTCTCTTCTTATTACAATATACATTAGGAGACCAAACCATAATTGAATTATCAGAATACAGTACAATATTCCCATCCATTTCTATCTTAAATTCACAGTTTTTAAAATTTGAAGATCCTTTATACCATTTTATAGCATTTCTTACATATAAAGCAAGAATACAATTTAAATGTAAATATAAATAAGCTTTATTATTTGGTGATAATAAAAATTCAGTAGCTTTTAAGGAATTGTAAGGCATATTACTAATTAAAGTAGTGAGATAAATTCTACAATCATGTAAATTATTGGATATAGTATGTTGAATTTGTGGTAATCTATGTGCAGAATGTTTTTCCATAAACTCAATAGCATAAGAACCAAATACTATTCTAACAAATCTTGCACGTAAATTAAGAATATTATTACGATATAAATTTAATAGAGTAGTCAATCTATGTCTTACATTATCACCATCATCGTGTTCATATTCAACAAGATTTGCTCCACAAGTTGTATCAATAAAGTTTCCATTTGAACTATAAATCCATATTTGATTTGTCATGCTTAAAGGACCATATATATCATCTTGTATTGTATAATCATATTGCATACTTTGACCTTTTGGTAACTCTCCAGATTCAGTGTTATTAATCATTAATTCAATAGCAAGAATAATTAAATTAACACTATCAACTGTCATACTATTTTTTCCACTATAATTTATAGTTGAAATAGTAAATTTTATGAATAATATTAAAAATATTAAAAACATTATTTCAAACATAAGTGTTAAATGATTTAAAATAAGATTTAAGCTTGGTGAATCAATGTCATTTAAGATTATGAAAGGAAAAACTTTGTGTAGATGACACCACACAAATGACCTGAAGTTACTACCATACACACATTTAAAGGTTTTTAAGTTGTAACTTAGCCATTAAGATTTTTTTCTCAAAATCTAACAATTGGCTAAATTAGAAAATATAATTAAATAAGTTTATATTATATAAAACTTAACTTGTAACAACAGTGTCAATATGTATTTTAAAGAATTAAAATACTATAATAAGATGATGGACAGAATTATCTCAGCTTTATTGATGATCTGGCAGTTAATACAATATCACCTCTATCAAGGTAGTATTTTAGGGGACCCACTCTTGAGAATCTTAATGAAAAATAAAAGAAGTAAGTTTTATTTATTAATTTCTTATTTGTAAAAAGTATATTACAATATTTAGAGCATATATTTTAATTTTAATTAATTTTAATAAGAAATATTCATAGAACGCTTTCTAAAATTCGTTTTATTAAAAAATTTTAAAATACAAAATGCTCTGAAACATATATGAAACTTAAGTTCCTTGAGTTGCAAAATCAAAACCCACTCAAAAAAAAATTCTAAATATTCTAAAAGATGAGCTGAAATATTTTTTCATTTGATTATTAGTTATTGATAATAAATATACCATTTTTATTATTATAATTAATATTGAAATTGATAGAATGTATCCTAGACTTAAAAACTATGTTTAATCTAGTTTCCCTTAATACCTTTGGTTTTCCAACCAAAAACTGAACAAATAATCATTTATCAACTAGTATCATTAGTAGTGAGATCTCTTTGGGATCACTATTTAAATCTAGAGAGAATTGAGAGTGAGTTAAAAATTGAGTCAATTCTATATAAATATTTTATTACACTTATAATAGTATATGGCATTATAACTATACACTTACCCTTATACCATCCCCTTCTCTCAGAAGGATGGAAAATAATTATTGTTCTTTAGTTGATAGTTCAGGAAAATGAGGTATTGGTGGATATATAAGTAGTGTAATTTATTCCTAATCTCTTTATATGAAGCATTTTACATGTATAATTTCTGGAGGCTCAAAGTTTTATGCTAAACCTTATAAATTTATGACTCAATTTGCTATATAGTCTTTTTCAACTAACAATGAACCCCTTACATAAACTATATACTATAAGACAGGTAGAATGAATTAACACTCGATCATCCACTCTACACTTCATAAATAGTGACAATTAATGTTGCAGTACCATTTTTATCCAACTGCTCAAATGTTTATCAAGTTCCACTAAAATAAATGAAGGAATGATTATTAACTATTAATCCCATTACCCAATGTTAATAGTTTATAGCTATCACAAAGATAAACTCAATTTTATTGGCAAACTAGGATCATGAGTATATAAGACTTTATATAGTGAAGAAACAGTAAAACTTTGCACTTCATAATATAACTATACCAAAGAAATGTAAATAACTATCACATTCTAATTGAAAAGTTATATACTTTGCCATCATCCCCTTGAAGGTTTTAACAAATCATTTTATCAAACTATTTATTTGTGGATAATAAACATTCACAAAAGTGTGGCATATCCTTAGTTGATATGTTAATATATAAAATGTCTCAACCATAAATATAGTACTATTAAGCCACTTATTAGGCACACTCAAACTCTCTTATATTAGCATCCTTCAATCAATATTATAAGCATTCATGCTCAAGATGAAAGGATAAATGTAATTAGTGTATACCAAAAGTAGAGGAGTTAGCAAAACATCCTTGAGTTCTATAAATACCTATTTACAGTTTTACATTAGATGAAAGATGATATCAATGACTCTAATAATGTTTACAATGGTGCAGTACAATAAAAAATATAATTAATAAGATATTGCACTTTGCCAATGAAACACTATGCATTATTCATACACTTCAGTGTAGAAAAATTTAAAACAATTATAAGCTTGTCAAAATTAATTTGCAAACCTTCATAAGAAATGTAAAACCTAAGATAAGTGGTGTTTTTAGATTTTATAAACTACTTTAGCTTCAAACCAACTTTATATAACCAATCCAAACCTTATGTACATCATAAATATGTTCTTCCCACATCACCTTCACTATTTAGTTTATACAAGTACTTAATGATGGTATTTGGTTTGAGTAATGTTTTAGTGACTTTCTAATATATGGATAAAGTTTTTTATAATATGTCAAAGATGATCCATTAATGATGTTTTGATCCATTCATATAGAAAATAATTTTAAAAATATTGCCAATACATAAAGGTGAGATCTAACATGGTGAGCTAATGGCTTTGTTTTAAACGAGGAAGTGGGTACATACTCAAAACTATCATATCATTCAATGGGTGATAGTTGATGTTGAACCAAATCCTTTTATCATACTTCATAAATAAGGTTTATATAGTTAACAATTTCAAACTTTCCAAATAACACCCTTCTCTAACATTTCCTTAATATTGGCTCACAAGATTTTGATCTCTTTTGGTGATTAATACTAAACATAAATCTTGTTTAAATGAACATCTTTAATTATAAGAAGATTGACATATTGCAATCTTTTCCCTAGAAGACATATGAAAGTCGAAGAAATCAATATACTTTTTTTTGAGCCAATCAACTATAATACTATAAAGATTATTGAGGGAACATGAGAAGAGCATGAACAAATGGTAAGAAGTAATAATGAAATCCAAACATCATCCTAAAAATGATAAGTGGCACTTACTATGAATTGATTAAACCAATAATATATATCATCTTTAGAATTTCTATAGAAAAAATCCAACTAGATTTAAGGATTGGTAAAAGGAGTAGGAGGAAGAGAAGTTGCACCATATGTCATGAATATTGCTATCAATTGTGTTTAATTGTCTAGTTACAACTACATAACATTTAGCAATTATAGCAATTATTACTCCATAAATAAAGGATTTACTTACTGTGAGAGGAGAAAAAATTTAAAAAATAAAAGAAAATCAATGATGCTAAAGCTAAATCTAAAGAAAAATCACAAATCTGAACACTCTTAAGAGCCTTACCTCCACCATGCTGCGGACAAGAAAAAACAGCTTCCCTGCTGCCAAGGGCCAGGGAACGTATTTGAAACACTTGAGAGGGTACGGGACAGTCAGGTGCCCACCTTTGTGGTTCCTGTAGAAGCTAGAGAGCTCCTGCAGGGCCAGCCTGGTTGCCTTGCAAAGGTGAACGACGGACATGTCGTGCTAGTGAAGCAGCAGCAAGTTGAGTCAGCGGAGTGACGCACACCTTGCCAACAAAAAAACGGCACTGATCCGAACGAAGGGCCCAATGTGCTCGATCAGCAGTGCAGGATAACGAGTCAGGTAGAACTTATCCCTGTCTCCAATCTGCCCAGTAGGGCCTCACATACTGCGGGCCTTGCTTGCCTGGGTCACACTTGCTTGCGAATATCCCAACTTTCGCCTCCAAAGCTGTCAATAAAGCCCGCAAATCATGGTGGCGGCAGCTCAGCCCCCCAGTGTTGAGTTCGTTGATAAAGTCCATTCCTGCTTTCCATAACTCGGCGACTTCATCCTTGTAATCGTAATACCGGGAACACTTGACTGCCAGCTTCATGAAGAAGACGATGTCCGAACACGTTCCCGAAGGCCTCGTGAGCAAGCGCTGCTGGAAGCGAGGGCTTCGCGTACGCAGGCCTGAAGTTAAGAAACTCGGGCAACGCGCCATCTTTCAGGTTCCCATCTTCGCCCATAGCCTGGAGATTCATGCACACGAACTCGTCATGCAGGAGGGAGCCAGCATCTGGACTTCGCGAGAGCCCAATGCATCCTCATCATAGATCTAGATAAGCTTCAAAATAACAGAGCTCTACCTACCTTGCAATTTCGTTGTCATCCGAAAGATATGAATCTCCAGCGAAGAAAGATATGAAGCCTCCAGGGAGCTTCCGAGAGCCGTTTCCAGCCTCCTCCTTTGCAATCGCCTCCTCTAGCCCACTTCCACCTCAATGAACATATCAGTTGCTCCAAACCTGACTACTCAAAGTGTCTTTGATAATCACCACCATTGTCACAATTCTATCATCTGTCTATAGGACAATCTTATGAGCGCCAAAAGTGAAACAAAACAATTTCGAGTGCTCTGCCAATTTTTCTGCAACATCATCAACTCCACAAACTCAATCGCAAATATAACTCCAAGTCACAGAGGCAACCCCTTCTGGTTGAAGAGCAGGAGGAGCTCTCCTGCTTGGGATGCAGGCCCCTTGGAGACAGCAGAAACCCATGATGTAGAATATTTCATATACTCGCCAGAATATTCTATACTTGTAATAGTTTAAACATTCTTGGTCTCATCTCCCCGGGATGTTCTTTCTTTGATGGCGAAGGTAGCGGCGAATGATCGATTTTGCCGGTGTGATTCGGGCGATCCGGTCCAGCGAGAGCGTCGCGCAGCTCCGCGCCATCGATTCTTTCATCGTGAGCAGCAATTGCCACAGCCGGTTCGTCGCCAATCTCCTCGTGGACATGTATGGGAGGCTTTCGTGCGTGGAGCAAGCCCAACTGGTGTTCGATCGCATCCCGGATCCGAATTCCTACTCGTGGAACGCGCTCATCACCGCCTACGTGCGCAACGGGCACTTCGATCGCGCGCGCGCGGCACTCAACATGATGCCGCATCCAGACGCCGTTTCCTGGACCGCCATGGTCAATGGCTATACGCTCGCGGGACACATCGACGAGGCGAAATCCATCTTCGATACCATGTGCCACAGAGATTGCGCGGTGTGGAACTCGATGATAACTGGATTTGCCCAAGCCGGGGATTTGCACAAAGCGAAACAGTTCTTTCATTACATGCCGCAGCACGAGATTCGATCGTGGAATAGGCTAATCACTGCGTTCGCGGAAAAGAAGGAAACATCAATAGTTCATCAAATTTTTCACCAAATGGAAGAACGCGACGTGATATCCTGGACTGCTCTAATTACTGCGTTTGCCAATGTGGGGGATTTGCTGAAAACCACCAAAACCTTTGATCTCATGCCACAGAGAAACGTGGTAACCTGGACAGCCATGGTACAAGCTTGCGTAGAGGCTTTTCAACTAGAAAAGGCTCGCGAGGTGTTTATCAAATGCCCCGAGCGGAACGTTGTTACGTGGAATGGCATGGTGCAAGCAAATGCCCAAAAGGGGCATCTTGACACGGCTATGTCTTTGTTCCGAAAAATGCCTGCCTGGGACGTTTTCACCTGGAACGTAATGATCTCAGCACACGCCGCAAATGCCCATCTCGTGGAAGCGCAGAGTTTCTTCGAGAGCATGCCTCAAAAGGACATGGTTTCATTGAACTGTATGCTCGCGACTTACACGCAGCACGGCCACCTCCACCAAGCTCGAGAGTTGCTGGATCTCATGCCAAACCGGAACGTTGTCTCCTGGAACGCGATGATGACGGCCTACGCTCAAAATGGGCACCACCATCAAGTCGGGGAGCTCTTTCGGAGGCTAAACCTGGACGGAGTCCGGCCAAACGAGGTGACCTTCATCAACTTGCTCGTTGGTTGCGCTCATCTCGGGCTCCTCTCGCAGGGGCGCGACCACTTCGTGTCGATCAAGCCCGTGTATGGCGTTCCTCTCGTGCTGGAGCACTTTTGTTGCATGGTGGACCTGCTGGGACGAGCTAAGTTACTGGAAGAAGCGGAGGAGCTGCTTACCTCGATGCCGTTTAAGCCGGACGTGGCTGCGTGGACGACGCTGCTGAGCGCTTGCTGCAAGCACGGGGATACCGAGCGAGGCGAGCGCGTCGCCCAGAGGATAATGGAGTTGAACGTTACGACTTCCGGGCCGTATATGCTCGTGTCACACGTCTGCCGAGAAGATCCTGCTTTAGATGAATATGAGTAGGAGGAGATGGATGAATGAATTCTACCATTTTCTCCAAGGCTTGTGCTTCTCTGGAGTTGTTTTACACTCTGCTCTGCAAATAAAAAAACCAGTGTGAGTGACATATGAGATGAAAGCAGAAAATCGCTACCTGGAGAGGCCGCTTAAGGAACTCTTCCGGCCAGGAGTCTGTTAACTTGTCGTGGAGGCTCCCATGGATGTAAGTCCCCGGAACTTAGGAAGAAGCTTAGTCTTTCTTGCCAAACTTCTCCTTTTGTGAGCGATCAGAGAGACTTCCCACAACGCTGTCAGCTGGAACTGGCTTTGGAGACCGGCGAGGTGGCGTCCTGTGCCTGGGAGATCTCATGGCCTTGCTTTGCTCCTCAATGTATTTCTTCATTTTAGCTGCCCTGCCTTTGTCTCTCTCTTGAAGCACAATGGCCAGCTCCTTCTTGGACGCGACGAGCTTCTTCTCTAGAATGGACATCCTGATCTGGAACCTGAGCTTTTGATCCTTGAGGCGTTGGATCGACTGCTCGGCTGCCAATCCACGCCTTCTCACGTCCTTGCCCTGCTTCAAATACCTCTTGCTGGCGATGGATGCCTCGCTCGTCTTGAACCGGCAGATGGACAGAGAATGCGTCACCTTCTGAAGCACATTGGATACTTCCTGCAAAACTTTGCTCGTTTCCATCAGCTAGAGATCGGGGACAACGCTGGAGATACCGTGATGTTGGACTGGGTTTGATAGTTGGCTGCTTCCAGCTGTTCGTTCTTCGCTAACATTTGCTGAATCTCCTTGTTCTCGGAGTTGATCCGGGTCTGAATCGTTGCCAGCTTTCTCGCCACCCTCTGCAAGAAGAACGCTTCCTCTGCAAAAACGTCTCGCTCCATTTCAAGCTCCTGTTCCCTTGCGAGACAAAAAGAAATTAAGGGCTGTCTATCCCTGTCACGAGACTACTAGGCACCTTGGTGTGCGTTCCACGGACATCTCTTCGCAAAAGGCAGAGCTCCTCACTTTGGAGCCGGCAAGCCCTTTGCAAGTAGCTGATCCTTGTCTTGAAATCTACGTTTGCAGCCAAACAAGCCAGAGAGTTGAAGAGCTTCGATCAAAAGGAAATACAATTAACATACCTTGGAGTTTCTCGCGAAGAAACGGTGAGTCGTAATCACTGAGGGCGTCGGCAATTCCTTTCAACTCAAGATCCAATATGTCCCTCTCCAACTTCCTGTAAGTTGGAAGAATCACAGCGAAAGAAAACAAGATGTGATGAAATGACAAAGGAAATGGTACCTATTCTCGTGCTCCACCGCGGAAGCTAGAAGCTTCTGCTTCTTTTGCTGCCTGTTTTGCTCCGCCACAAGCTTCTTCAACTCGACAAGCTCTTTGACGAGCGTCTCTCGATCGAGGCCACACCTGGAAGAATCGCTCCCTCTCGACCGGCCGGAAGCTGGAGACCCGGCAGGCATCGGCTTCATCCCCCAAGCCGAGGAATTGAGCGCAAAGGGCTCGCCAGCGGTTTGGGGCCGGCTCAAGTTCGCAGACCTCGGCGTGACGACGCGATTCCGCGGAGAATAGGGGCTGTTTCGATCCATTCTCTTCCTGGGGCTCGACTGGGGCCTCGCTGGTGCCGTCTGTGGCCTGTGCGAGATCGCGGTAACCCCTGCCGTGTGTGGCCGCGACGGCGCAAACGGCCGCCTCTTGCGAGGGGTGTTTGCCGTCTCCAATCCTCCTCCCAGTGACAGCCCCATGGCGCCGCTTGCGATGGACGCGAGAAATGCCCTACCTCAAGATCGCTGCCATGGCGCTGGGATCCCCCGGCATTGTCATGGAGCCCTTAGCCCTAGCACCACACGAGCCCTAAAATTTAAGTTTTCCCGCTTCAGCAGACAGTGAAGGCAGTTATTTACAAGCGGACCCGTACAACGAGCCAGCGGCCGTACAAATATTTCAGGTTTAAATTATTTAATTGTTATTTTAAATATTTTAAGCAGTTGAAAAGGTAAAGTTCTTTATTCAATCTTATTCTTGAAAATTACAGAAGAATCATTGCAAAAGCAAGCTGATTAAGTCTGCTTGATGAGGTCCCTGAGCTGCTGGATGAGCTTGGGATTGATCTGGAACGCCCTCTTGATGACGGCGTCATAAATGGGAGGATTGGATGCAAACACGGCTTTGGCTACCTGGGTGACACCCGGATTCTGGGAGTTGAATCCCGCAAGAACAACAGCCGGTGTCTTCCCAACGTTGAGCTGGAAGTGAATGAGACCACGCGGAAACACAAAGAGATCCCCTGGATGCAAAGTTTGAGCGAAGAGTGTGTTGTTGGTGGTGCTCACGAATCCAACATAGAGTGTTCCTTGCTGGAGGAAGAGGAGCTCGGTTCCTCGGGGGTGGACGTGGGGGGGATTGACACCGTATGGAGCATAATCAATCCTCGCAAAAGAGACTCCAAGAGTGTTGATTCCCGGGAATACGCCAACATTTGCATTGGTGACTATGGATCCGAGCTCGTTGTTGGTGTTCCCGGGGTTGCGGAGCCCCTGGAACATGAAATCACTGGCTAGAGTTGCCGCAGCAGGCTTGCAAGTGAATCCATTGACGATGGTGTTGCTGTTTTCGTCGCGGACACAGAAATCCTGGAGGGCATCTTCATCTGAACCATGGACGAAAGCAATGGCACAAATGGCAACCAGACAAATGGCTAACTTGTAAGACATCTTGTATCTTGGCAGCAAGAGTTTAGCTGATTGATCAAAGCTTTTGATATTTTTTGCTGTGATGCTACTTGATTGACGGAGAATGGAGTGAGGAGAAATGTGGAGTTTGCTTGAGTTTATATAGTAGTTGTCACCGACTGGCAGTGTCAAGCACTCCAGATCTGACTTGGTCAAGCATAAAGATTGAAGGGGACAAAGAAGGATAACACGCTAATTTCACTGACTTGATCAAAACCATAGCTTGGATTGTTTCAGTTTGATCGGGTCGTGGTCTCAAACCATTACCAAAAATGAAAGAACCAAACCAATTCTCAAAAATCCAAAAAATATAATAATTAACGAGAGAAATTCTTTAATGCTAATATAATGTGGTGATATTACACCATAAATTTCTTGAGATTTTGCTGGTAGCACGAATATGAATTCGCATTGGATAGAGTCTCCTTCAAAATAAAATGTCAGTTTGAAATAAATGTAAATGGAAATTAGGGCTCTTACACAAATTTAGGGTTCTTCGAGATAGGCGATGGAAGCGGATGTGGCGGCTGCCCATGCCGGGATAGCGCATTTCTCCCACCTCGCCGGCAAATGTGAGAATCTTGGGGCATCCAGCTGATTTTGCCTCGAAATGGCTGCTTTCAATCGATTTGCGCTGTTGGGCGACGATGAGGACGAGGATCCTGTAGCGAAGTACAGCACGGCTGCCACCGCGGCGGCGCCTCCAGCTCCAAGCAAATCCTCGCCCAAGAAGGATCTCCATCATGCAAAGCTTCCTTCCAAGCCTCTTCCTCCGGCCGAATCCGGTAAGTCCTCTTCGATCTGCGAGCTCTAAGCGTTTCCGGAAATTTTCTTACTGCTCCAGTGAGGGCTGAGAAGGAAGCCCAGGCCGGTCGTGGCCGCGGCCGTGGAAGGGCTGGAAGGGGCCGCGAGAATCTCGTGGCTGGAGGAGATTCTGCCAGTGATCGCGACCGTGATCACAGCGATCGAGGTGGTCGCGGAGGAGGCCGAGGGGGTTACTACAACAGGAGCTTTGCTTCCGACGGTGAACGAAGTTTTGATGGTGGGAGAGATCGCCAAGGACGAGGTGGAGGAGGTAGAGGAGGCTTCTATCCTCCAGATGAGCAACGCAGCGGGGGCGCGCCACCGTAAGCTTTTCGATCTGTTTTTATTTTCCCTCTTCTCTGTCGCTCACTTTGTTTGTTCTTCGTGAAAACTAGAGAGGTTGCTGGGAGCAAGTTTGAGCAAGTTGTAGCTCCTCCTCCGGATGCCTCGCAAGAGACTGACAAGAACACCGAAGACAAAAAAGAGGAAGCACCGGAAGAAAAAGTAAGTTTACTCTTTCCTTGTTTTTTTACGAAGGAGATGGCGTGTGAATGGAAATGGTTTTGTCAGGAGATGACACTGGATGAGTATGAGAAGATAGTGCAGGAGCGGCGCAAGAGCATCGGGGGTCACCAGAAAGCCGAGGAACGCAAAGTGGAAGCCGACAGTGAGCTCAGAGCGATGCAGCTAGTGGACAAGAAGAACGATGCCGACGTCTTTATCAAACTGGTCTGGCGATCTTTTGTTAACATTTACCAGGATCTCGTGATCTCTAACACAATCGTCCAAAACGCACAGGGATCTGACAAAGATAAGCTCAAGAAGAAGGACGCGGCCGAAAGAGACGAGAAATCTAAGAAGGTGCGCTGTTTCTTCCCTTTGTTCTTGTCGATATCAACAATCGATTCTTCTTTAACACAGGCAATCAATATCAACGAGTTCCTGAGACCAGCTGATGGAAGCCCTCGCGGTGGAAGAGGGCGAGGACGAGGGAGTGGATTCCAATCGCCCTCTGGAGCTCGCTACTCGGCCGCTGGAGGAGGAGACGCTCTAAGCCCGAGCATCAACAGCCCCCAAGAGTTTCCACAGCTGGGAAAGAACTTCGTATCTTAATGTAACTTCCGTCTTTTCCATCAGACAAGTACATATAGAATCTTCCTGCATTGATTCCATTCTAAAGTTTGTGGTTAAGCTTACTTTGACGATCGGGGACCAATGCTGTGACCACGATTGGGAAGCTCTGGTATGGTCTGGAAGAGCTTGGGATTCTCAACAATAACCACGTTAGTGGCAGTGATTTCATGTTCCAGGGACTCAGGGATCCTGGGAACACCAAGTACAAGCATCGTCACCAATGCAAATGTTGATGTCTTCCCAGGAATCAACACTCTTAGAGTCTCCTTTGCAAGGACAGACTCCATAGGGTGTCAATCCAGCCTGAGCAACCAAGCTCCTCTTTGTCCAGCAAGGAACACACTATTTGCTCAAACTTTGTGGGCTGGAACTTTGATGCATCCTAGAGTCACTCAGGTTGCAAAAGTTGTCTTTGTATTAAATCCTAGCATTCCAGATCATGGAGCACCTCAATTTGTTTTCTGCTTAAATCTTGGTATTATTCAAAATTTGATGAGTTTAATTCATATCTTTCCGTAAAGCATAAGATCGAAGGTATAAGATGATTGTTGATTTCTATAGTGTTAAAGAACCTATACTGGAGTCTCGTACTTCAGTATGGCTTCTTCTCCCATTTCTCAGTACAAAGTGTTTTTTAATGTGAGTCTCCAAATTTTGGGAGCCCAGGAAGCACATTGTAGCGTGCATGGTTATAGGAATACACTGTCATTGTGGATTTATTGCCCTTCTAAAGGCCAAGCCATGCCACAACCGGGTATTGCCCTTGATTGCGACACTAAAGGCCAAGCTGTGATCTCCTTCTGCTCAAGGTGCTCAACTTGATTGGGATCTTGAAGGTCAGTCTCTTTAAATCGCCTGTCCCTGCTCTTTGCCAAGAAACTCGTGATTAGCCTTCAGAAAAAGAACTAGGCCTAAGCGCAAGAAACTTAGTGGCCAATAGGTTCATGCAAAAAGTTCTAAAGCCATTCTAATGTCCATGAATCTAGGCTTCTGAGCAGCAATCTAATTTTATTCCACTGCAATCTGTAGACTAGTAAAACAGAAACAAAACATGCAGTTTGGGAACAAGCCAAGACTTCAGAAGGAAGGTTGTTAGTGTCATTAGGTGTGCTTATGCTGCCCAATAAGGGGGAACAATCTAACTCATAATAAGAATACTAGAGTTCCAAATAGAGATTTAAGGATTTAATGAGCCCCTTAGTTAGACAGATTTAAAAAATCATGTTCACTATAAACTTTTCCCAGCCAAAAAATAGTGGTGCCTTAATTCTTAGTTTGCAAGATCCAATTGGGTTTGTAACTATCCTCCTATTGCTTTGATATAACAAAGTTTTTACTAGAACCAAGGCTATAAAGCATTGTGTTGTGTAAATTCCACTGTGTTGTGCCCAAGTGGGAAGATTCCTTCACAAAATTGCTTAAGGACATCCTATTGTCAATAGTCTCCAAAACTCTTGAAAGCTTACTAGCACTCTTAGTTTTCTCACTACTGACTAAAAACACTCTAAAAACACTTTTAAATGCTTTTAAATATTGTTAACTACTTCAAGAAAGGTGAGGCCTAGCTTAACTCTTCCTTGTTTCCTTTTTATATTTGGCTCTCTAAGGAATATTTATGCATCTGTCATACCCTAAATGCTGACTGTTTCTAGGGTTTTACACTCTACATACTCCAGCCACCAAAACAACAACTTCCTTTCGAAATTTATATCACGACTAGCACAAAGGCTCTTGGAGTATGCCTTTGCTAACATTCAGAGCCTGGCAAGCCACCACACCCAACATACTATTCCTCACATTCATTCAAGGAGATTGAGAAGAAGTACATAGATGCAGAAAAAGAAGCAGTGGCTATTGTTTACACCTTGGAATGATTTTGTCACTTTCTTGCTGGAGCCCGTATCCATTTCCATATCTATTTTAATTTGTTGACCTTTCTTTTACAGTGACCAGTTCATGATCCTTGTACTTTATCTTGGATTGTGACCATCCAAAAGTTCTAGCCAACTTTTCATACGCAGCGGAAGCGTGTGATGGATCTGAGCAAGTTCCTAGTTGCTGAAGCTACCTCCTTTGTGGTCCAAGAAGCATTACAGGACATTGTAGTGTACCTAGATTCAAACAAGTTCCTAGTAGATTCCTCACCAATGCAATAAAAGGCATTGGAGATCTAAGCGGGGTTTTGCCTTCTCGATGGACACCCTTATAAGAGGACTTCTCAGGACATTTTGTTGCGGTGTATGGTGAACATGAGGTCCCTAAGCTCCTTCATGCTTTCCACTCTTGTGCGGGGCATTTCTTGGGACAGGTCACAGCACAGCTCCTCTTGTGCCATGGTTACTTTTGCCCTTGGATTGACTAGGACAGCTTGGACTATGCAAAGGCATGTAAGCACTGCCAACAATTCAACCCTTGGAGCTATGTTCCACATCTTCCTTTCCAGCTTGTCACTTCTCTGGGTCCCTTTTTCGAGTGGGGACTTGACTTTGTCAGCCTGATCAACCCACCAAGCTCAAAAGGATAGCACTACATCGTTGTGCTGACAGACTATTTCACAAAATGGGTTGAGGCCATCCCTTTGTGATAGGTAGATCAATAGTCTACAGTGAAGTTTGTCTATGAGTACATTGTTTGCCAATTCAAAGTTCCTATAGTTTTGATTTCCGATCGTGGCAACGACTTCCTTGGATAGGTGATGCAGCATCTTCTCCAGCAGCTGCAGGTCAAGCATGTGAAGAGCAGCAGCTACTATCCTAAGTGCAGTGGCCAGGAAAAGTCCAGCAACAAGATATTGAAGGCAATCATCTCAAAGCTTGTGGAGGATCACCCAAGGTGTTGGCACGAGCACTTGGTTACAGCATTGTGGGCCTTTTGGATGTCTTTCAAGACATCCATCTTTATGACCCCATTCTCTCTTGTCTATGGGATAAAGGCTATGCTTCTAGTGGAGATTTAGGTGCCATCACTCTCACTTTCACTTTGATACGCGGCAATGATGTAGCTTAGCGATGAGGACAAACTTCATGCATGTGACTTGGAGGTTCTTGCCTTGGAAGAATAGCGATGAGACACGATTGAACATCTCTTTCGATGAAAGTAGAAGATCAAGTCAGTGCAGTCTGCTAAACCATTCAAGGATGGCAATTTTGTTCTACTCAAGGAATTCACACTACCTTCGAAGTTCTCTCCGTGCTGGATTGGCCCTTACTTTGTTTAGCAACACATTGGAGGTGGAACACACGTGCTAGTAAATGCTGATGGATGTGAGCTCCCACACACTCACAACCACTTTCACCTCAAACACTTCATCTAGTGACGTGTTCCTCTTATCTTTTTTTTCTTTTGCTTCCTTTCTTTCACTTTACTTTCATGGTTTATTTTTTTACTTTTAGAGGGTGTTTCTCCATTGGACCATGGCTCTTGCCTTGGATGTCATGCTCAGGCTGCATTGCCATTTGTATAGAAGTTCCTCACTTGGCTTGGTTTATGTTCCAAGTTTTTTGGCCCTTCCCTTACCATTACTCTACCCCACACATTCCTCACACCCATTCCATATCATCTACATTCATAGATCCATCACCAATCACTCCCAACAGTATTGCCCGCACTTACCTCTAGATGCCCATCTTGCATCTTTCATTCTTTCGCCATCATCCACATCTTTGTTTAAGGTCATATTTACACCATACTTGGGACATAAATACACACACTAGCAGCAAAAGACATCACTTCATTGGATGTGTTGTTTTTTAGATATCATTCTGACCATTTGCTGATGACGTGCTAGTTTTTCTGGAGCAACTTTCTTCCAACCAGGTGAACCTATTCACTCAAGGCACCTAAGTGGATTCTTAGGTGAGGCCACAAAAGCTAAAGCCACTTTCTCCTACTCTAGCACTCAGTGGACACATGCCACCTCTCTTTACTAGCGATCTAGCAACTATGCCATCTTTTTTAATTGCAATTTTCTTTATTCTGACACATCAGACTATAGGCCTGACACTTTCAAACATGGCCACCTTCTCAAAGTGCCACCACCATCTTGGCACTCCACCATATCACTCCATCTTTTATCATTTCTACACTTACCACCTTTGGGCAATGCATCCCCTCTTCTAGCTATCTTTCTTTCTCAATTTCAGTCAGTCTTTAGAGCATACCTAAAATCATCATGAGGCTACATTTGCATATTACACTTTCTTGAGCCGAAATCCAGGTATGGGTTAAGTTCTTTGGATACTCACTCTTTTTCTTCTATTTTTTTTCTCTTTCCACACTTTTTCTTTTACATCAGGGTCTAATTTGACTACAGGGTTTCCCATTGGATTTTCCTCCCTGTCTTTAAACTTCACACTTACCTCTTTTCTTTCTTTTCCCACTTTATTTCAAAGTTTCTACCATTTCACACAATTACCAACATTTGGCATTAGCAGTAGAGATACACTCTACACTCTTCGGAGGGTTTTCAAGCATCTGGAGTCAATGTAATCCATCGTGGTTGCATGTTAAGGCATGGCCACTTAGAGAGTGTGAGAGTGAGAGAGGGAATATTCTCATTTCTAGAATATTTTTTATCTTCCTTGTATAAAACTTTTGCCCCACAAGGGCAAAAGGGGGGCATTTGTGAAAAGCATTGGAGCATTTTTTATATTTAAGTGAGCATTGGGGGAGGCACCCCTCCTTCCCCTAACAATTTGAACAAATGGTATAGTGTAACTTGGTCAAGGTAACCAAGTGGGAAGGACATGTAAAAAAAATGAACTATGACAATGCTATGGTATAGTGAGTCCAAGAAAGTAATCTCTAAAAAAGACATATAGGATGGTTGGAAAGTTAGGTCATGAAGAAGAAGACTTTTGATAATTGCAATAAATACTATGTATGGGCCATGGATAGAGGCCATAGTAAAAAATGCTAAAGATGCTCACTAGCGTTAAACACCCTTAGACTTGGCAAAGCAAGAGCCTTTACTATGGGACTAAAAGGATACCTTAAGGATGAAGGTTGTGATCCTATATTGTTTGGTGCAAAAATCAAA